TAAAAGGTGATGACAGACACATAAATAAAATTAAAAAATATAAAAAAAAAAACACTCATTATTGTAAAATCAATACATTCATCGTTCCACTCAGAATCTAAAATAAATATATATAATAATGGCAATAATAATATTTTATGACATTTTAATATATTATGTATATATAATATTATATTAACATAATGGACAATGGTATATGTATATATTATAACAATAGTTTTTAACATTGTCAGTAATATTTACGAGTGAATATCCATTGTCAAAAAAAATTGAAGTTCAAACGCTCATGAAAAATTAACGTGACTTTCACGTAATTTTTTTTTTTTTTTGTTAAATATAGACAAAAAATGATGAAATTTATTTTGTGCCACTAAATATTGTTTAACTATAGCTATCGATTCGTTAAATGTTTGGTGATATTGTCATATGTATTTTGTGCAGCCGAGTGAGTATGATACTATAATATTATATTATATTAATATGTTATAAAATAACTCGCGATATTCCGACAATAAAGCGATTTTGCTGCGTTTACTACAGTTCTAAAATAAAATCTAATATACGCTTAAATCCAAAGTACTTATACCTACATATATGGTAGGTATAACCTACCTAGTAAAACGTGTGCGACTATAGTTGATTGCGATAGACCAGCCAGCAGATTATGAAAGTGTAATATAGTAAAATACTAAAATGTAATATAAAAAATAATATATTCGTTGTATTTTTGTGGGTGTCTAGCAGGTCAGTCACCTCGAATGACGTTCGCCGTAGTACCTAATAGTATTTTTGGTCTAGCAGGTCAGTCACGTTCCTCGACTTTGGTCGTAGTCACCCTGGAAGGCAATCCGACAATATTCGACGGCTGGGGCACGTCATCACTTATGCAATCCGACTGCGTCGAATCGCGGACGACGTTCATTACTGTTACCGAAAAAGCAAAATTAAGTAATAAATTACTTGAAAAAAATTTAAAAAAATTTCTTGCGTCCATACAAATCATATAGCCGCCGTATTTTTAGGGTGTCTAGCAGGTCAGTCACCTCGAATGACATTCGCTATAATAATATAGGGGTAGGCTATCCGACTTGGTCGGATTATAGCGTACAATATTCGACGGCTGGGCACGTCATTACGTATGCAATCCGACTGCGTCGAATCGCGGACAGCGCTCATTACTGTCACCGAAAACGCACGAGTAAGTACCTACTTAATAAATTACGTGAAAAAAAATTCAAAACATTTCGGGCGCATATATTGGAATCCTGCAGTGCCGGCCCGATGGTTTTCGGGGCCCGGTGCAGAATTTCGCGGGGCCCCATATGGCCAATGGCTGTATATGTTAATTTATTAATTATTATACAATATACACATTCAGGCGCGGACTGGTAAAAAAGGGCAAGGGATGCTACACAATTTAAAGGGCGAATAACGAAAATTGTTAGGGCAAATTTAAAACGTGTACCAACCTAGATAATTTATAAAATATTAATATATTTTATATTGTTTTGAAAAAATATTAAATATTGAATATCCGTTAAAAACATAAATGAGTACAAACTTTCAATAAAAATTTCACAATATTATAGATCACTAATAATCTTAAGTTGGTAATAACGATCTGCGCTGTTCATTAGGTATCTAGAGTCTTTAAATATAATATAATAAATAATATTAATTATGAAATATATTTTGGGGCAAGGGATGCTGTAGCATCCCAGCATCCCAGCATCCCAGCCAGTCCGCGCCTGTACACATTTATTTTATTTTTTAGGGACTTTTTTAAATTGCCTGTGAAAATAATATTACCTATCAGTATTGTTTTTAAAATTTAGATAGAATGACTTTAATTATTCTACATCTACATATTTTTTTGTCATATAAAAATGTAAAATAATCCAAAACGTATACCTTTTCCATTAATTTAATGGAAATAGTACATTTTGGAAAATTTAATGGAAATAGTTCATTTTGGAAAACCTAATTAAATATTAAAATATACTCCAAAATGTGCTTTTTCCAAAATAAAAATATTATTAATTTCTTATTTATTGTTTCAATATGAACAAACCGTTTATAAATAAAAAAGTAATTTTGAAGACAAGGAAGATTTTTTAAATTATTTAATAATATATTATTTCTATTAAAAACGACTCAAATGTGTTTAATAATCTAGGATTATATTTTTAATTTAATTTCAAACTTAATGATTGTGAATATTATAAATTATAAATTATATTTTAGTACGTTTTGGATTAACTATTTTATTTCGCTATACCTGCAATAGGCAGTAGTACGTTTTGACATAACATAAAAAAAAAAGTACGTTTTGGAATAATTTACGAAAATAGTTCATTTTGGTATAGTTAATGATTGGTGCCTATTATTTTAACATTGGCAATAGTACGTTTTGGCGTAAAACTGGAAAAAGTACGTTTTAATTATCTAAATATAATTTTTATGCACGAAAAAGGTTCGTTTTGGATTAAGCAGTCATTTTTAACAGCTGATTTGACCTGGAAATAGTACGTTTTGGTCTATTCTGACAACACCAATCGATTTGTCGGCGTTTTTTTTTATAAGAATCGATATCTAACTCGTTTTTTGCCAATTTTGGCAATAGTACGTTTTGGATTTCCACCCCTCAATCAAGGTAAGATATTAAAATATAGACATAGTACATATACTTATTCTAATTGGTATTCGTCGATAACAAACAGTTTCCTAAGAAAACAACACGGGTCGCGATATCCGTATTACTGCTACGGGGACAATATTATTATGTTTATTTATAGATAAAGTGATATTCGTAAATCGTAACAAGCCCGCACAAGCCCACCATGCGCGGGGCCCCGCACAAGCAAGGGCCCGGTGCGGTCGCACCGCTTTCCCCCCCCCCCTAGGGCCGGCACTGCACCCATTAGTGCAAGCACCTTCACGTCACTTTGTACAATATTATTTTGAACTTAGAAAAATTATCGAGCGTTATAATAAAATTCACAATATACAACAACTGTCTTATTATTCATTCATCAACCACGACTTCAGCATCAGATAAAGTGTCTGCCACCTGCACTTTAACGTACTGGTAGCTATTTATCTACTATTATCACAACGATAGTAGGTACCAAGTACCAAGATCGTTAGGTACAATATTAAACGTAAAATTAATTAAAATTAATTAAAAACAATTTATAGTTACGTTAAAAATTTGATGCTGCGACACTACCCACCTAGTACCTACCAAAGTGAATTAAAATATTGTTAAGGGGTATGAATAGTATTGAAAAAATCTATGGAAATGTACTTTTGTATTTCCAATAATATGGTTTATTGAGCCGTTTGAGAGTAAAAACACTTATTATCAATATTGTAGATGAGAAGTTGATCTGTGCCTGTATGGAAGTCAATTTTTGATATTTGTAATTACTAAACTCAATAATTCAAATTCAAAAAGTAAAATATCACAAGTTTTAGAGTTTAATATTGGACGTTGAAAATAAAATATCGAAAATCGACTCCAATAAAGGCCTAGATACACTACTTTTCTTCAATTTGTATAATAGGTGTTCATACTGTAATGTCACTCGGTAAGCTCTATTATTGGAAATACGAAACTAAGTTTCAGTGTTTCACTAAAATTCACATTTGTAATAAATTAGAGTGTAAACTGTTTGCGTATTATATTGTTATATATTAAACGGGTGTGCTCCACTATTAATTTTATACACAGTCACTCACACTAATAATCACTTACTAGTTACACGACCCGCGTGCACACAATTAGAAAATTGCCTATATTGAACTCCTTAGAAACGGTCGGTATGCATGCCCCTTAATTTGAAAATTGTAATTATGTACCTACTTTATAATTAATTAATTAGCCAAAAAAAAATTCCATATACTTAACTGTGATGACTTGAAATAGATTTTTATATTACCTAGCATTGTCAGCATTCAATACGCCATAGCAATATTGATGCGTAAATAGTAAATATAGGTAAGTACCTACTATAAATATATAAAATAAAAAGAAATACCTACCAAGTTGCAAGAACCTGAATAATGAACAACAAATCATGTTTTAAAATGCAATTAACAAATTTTTGATTTTAACAAATTATTTCAGGACTAAAAAGTAAAAAAAAATCATTTTTTGTATTTGAAGATTATTTCAAAAACTTTTGAAAAGTATTTGAGTATTACTCAATTTATTCATTTAGACACCTAATTGACTACCTACTTACATATACTATGAATTTGGTGCATTTAATTCCAGCGTTCAAGTATTTTTCCAGTTTTTTTTCTTATGTTAGGTATATTTATGTTATTTTGTAAGGTATTTTATTACTGTATGCGCTCTCGATGCTTGGTGTATCAAGGGAAACACCAAGTACACCCTCACGCCTATGAATAATAATGCAGTAAGAAACAAGTAAGGTAATAATACAGTGTTTATTGTAAGCCTCTAATGGTTATAACAATGCTTGATACATGGTGATGGCAATAACAAGTGTACAATGTATAATAAGCCTGATTAGCTAATCATAATAGAGAAATATAATAATTATGTAAAAACCAATTGAAGAATCAGCCTGGTTGGCTACTTAAACTATAATAAAGTAATAAAGTATGCCTGTTGGCAAATTACAACAATAATAATATGAGCCTGCTGGCAATTAATGACAATAATAGTATGAGCCTGCTGGCTATAACAATAATAATGACTAGAGCCCGTCGGCTACAACAATAACAATAATAATATTATGAGCCTGTTGGCTGTAATACTAATTTGAACATAAATGGTCGACCAATACTCACAAAAACATAATAATGACAAACGGTGCCAACATATTCCCTCCTTTTGAGAGGGAAATGCCTTTCAAAAATTACAAAAACTTTGGACTATATGACTGACTAAATATGACAATTTGAATACATGAACCACAACAAATACTTAACAATAATTACAAATGAGCAAGGAATACAATATAAAAATTTTAGGACGCGTTCTGCCCTTCTCCGACTTTATCGTTCTCAGTGGGTAGAACAGCCAACTTGGTTGCTGGACGCTTGAACTCAGACCCCGAAGAATTCCGTACCGTGACTGCTCGTACAATTCCATCAGGACCCGGATGAACTTTAGTAACACGAACTAGGTCCCATAGCAGTGGTGGGCTGTTGTCATTCTTCAGAACTGCTAAGTCTCCTACTTTAATGTTGCGAGTGAGTTTGGTCCACTTGCCACGTCGTTGACACTGGGGCAAATACTCAGAAGACCATCGTTTCCAAAAATTCTGTGCTTGTGCTTGCATGAGTTTGAATTGACGCAGACGGTTCTGTGGAATGCCTGTACAATCTGGTTCAGGTGGGAGCTGTAATGGACTCCCCTATCAAGAAATGGCCGGCTGTCAAAGCATTGAAGTCAGAAGGATCGCTTGACAGTGGTGTTAATGGCCGTGAATTCAACACTGCTTCTATGGGGCATGATAATGTGGTAGTCTCATCAAACGTCATCATAAAACCTTTGGAGACGGGCAACAAATGTTTTTTGGCTGACTTGACCGCAGCCTCCCAAATGCCACCAAAGTGAGATGCTGACGGTGGTATGAAATGCCAGTCAATGCTTCGGCTTCTTAAAAAATTGTGTACTTTGGTACTCTTTTGGCATTCCTGAATATGCGTTTGCAGGATTCGATCTGCACCGACAAAGTTGGTCCCGTTATCGCTGAACAATTCTTGACATTGCCCACAGCGAGCCATAAACCTGGATAAGGTGCTAATGAAATCGTCTGCTGACAATGACGACACTAACTCGAGATGTATTGATATTGTATATGGTTACTAAACAGATGAAAACGCACACGTAACTTTTCAGAGGAGTAACCTTCCTCAATCCACTTCGCACCATGACCGGGCCACAATAGTCTACACCAGTTCGTGCAAAAAGTCTTGCGATGATCACTCTCTCACGTGGAAGGGGTGCCATGAATGGGGATATAAATCTAGGACTGGTTTTGAAACATTGAATACAGCGACCTACAGTGGATCTTGCTATGCACCGACCTCTAATGACCCAATAATGATTATTGATATGTGCTAACAATGCCAATGGTCCCACGTGCAGTAACCTGACATGTTCAAATTTAAATAGTAATTGAGTAACTTGGTTGGCGGATAGTAATACGATGGGATGCTTCATGGAGTTTACTATGGAAGCATTCATCAAACGACCTCCAACACGAATAAGTCCAGGCTCATCAATGAACGGACTTAACTGTTTTAAGCAACTGCGACGGGAAACTTGTTGTTTGTTTTTTAACACAGAATAGTCTTAAGAGTTGAGATCCGCAACAACTTCATCCAGTCCGAATATGATTCTGGGATGCTGATAAGACAAATTTCATAGGTTTAACTTCAGGCATCTCTGTTGGTAACGCTGGACAGTCTGGCCAAGCAGTTGACTCTTGATTTAACCATGGTGGCCCATGCCACCAGAGTGGAGACTGCGCTAGTTCAGGCTAATATCACAGCGCCACATAACTCGAGCCACGGTATAGTCGTGGCCTTCATTAATGCAAACCCTGGATTTTGATGTGTACAAGTGTATATACACACTGCAGTTAAGTGCGACCGACCTCAGGTACACACATGCACCAAATGCCAATTGAGACGCGTCGCAAAAGCCGTGTATTTGAAGCGTGACAACATCTGCGAGTAACACCTTTCTAGGTACTGACAAATCAACAAGTTGAAGGAGACTGGAATAGAAGGTTGTCCACCTTGAACAAATGTCATCTGATAGTACTTCATCCCAGTCGATTTTCAGACTCCATAACTGTTGTAAAAATACTTTTCCTTTGATGAGTACTGGAGTAATAATGGGATCATAAATACTATTGATATCTGATAATAGACTACGCTTAGTCATTCGCTTAGGAGGAGTCCATGGTTTCATGACAAATCTAAAACTATCTGTGCTTGGTTGCCATTGCAAACCCAACGCACTCACCGAGTCGGATTCTGACAATGTTATTATGTAATTATCAGCAGTGGTGGTAGGTAACAAGGACAAGAGTGTTGACGAATTTGAGCACCACTTCCTTAATGGTAATTGGCCGCTGTTGAGTACACTAGTGAGTTTTTGGAAAATCTCATGACATTGTTCATCAGTGTCTGCTCCTGACAATAAATCATCTACATAGAAGTCCCTTTGGATGATTCTTGCTAAGTCCGGATCATTGCATGTGTTCACCAACTATACCAGGCACCTGATGGCTAAGTATGGGGCAGTTTTTGTACCATACGTTACTGTTTTCAACATGAACTCTTGAAGCTCATCAGTTGGCTTTGACCGATAAACTATTTTTTGTACCTAACAATCGTCATTGTGAATCAGTATTTGTCGGTACATCTTCTCGATATCTGCTGTGAGGGCTACTTGATGGACTCGAAAACGCAACAGTGTGGAATACAAAGTAGGTTAGACAACTGGGCCTTTCATGAGCAAGTCATTTAAAGACTTCCCTGTTGAACATATAGTAGATGCGTCAAACACTACTCGTAGCTTTGTGGTTGTACTGGTGTTTTTGAAGACTGCATTGTGAGGTATGTAATATCCGTTGGGTTGGGTTTCATTGAATTGTCCAATTGTTTCCATGTGCCATAACTTCAAGTACTCCATCAAAAATTTGTCCTATTCATTTGACAACACCTTGTCTTTGATCAATTTCTGTTCAAGATTAAGAAATCGTTTGCTGTACTAGGTTTGCTGTACTCAGGATCAGCTGAGCTTGATTGTATTTCACGAGGGATGTTTAATTGATTTGTGTCAAACCCCTGTGTTGGAAGGTCGCTGGTGATAGTAGGTAACACATGAAGTTGCACCTGGAACTGTGTCTGGACAAACCGAGATTGCACTGTACCCATACAACATTTGCTGGTAGATGATTTTGACTGCCCGAAACCAGTAATAGGTACCGTATTGTTGACTATCTGTAACCCGAGGCGTCGAGCCAGTTTGTTAGTGATGAAACACAACTGTGATCCTGAGTCAAGTACTACCCTGCAAAGCATCACGTTATCTGCTGCGTCATTCACATAAACCACAGCTGTAGCCAATACAACCTGAATAGTGGGCTTACAATGTACTGTTCTGTTTACAATACCACAACCGACTACATTGGTTGGCGCACTACTTGAACCCTGAACTGACTGGTTATCGTCATTGCGTTGATTTGCCTCCTGCTCATCATAGCTGAGGTGTAACAAAGTGTTGTGTCTTTTTCCACATTGGGTGCATGATGACGATCTACATTGACGCACTTGGTGATCAGATCGCAAGCAGTTGAAACAGCACCGATTCTTGAATACAACATCTCTGCGATCCTCAACTGACAAATTTTTAAACTTCATACATTGAAATAAGTAATTCTCAGAGTTACATGAGACACACTTAGGTTTGCTTTCGTTATATTTGGCAAACAGAATTTTCTTGTCGTTAAATTTAGAAAGTTTCTGTTTGTTGAACAATGATGGGATCAAACTTACAGGCACTGGATAGGAACCAACCTTGTGGCTGTTCATTTCACCAGCTTCATAAGCAGCGATTCTGTTAAGCAAGAACGATTTGATTTCAGTAAAGGATAGCAAGTCCTTTTTATTATAGTGTAGCTGCCACTCGGCCACTGTGGCGCTGTCGATGCGACTACAGATCAATGTTACTAACCACACATCCCATGACTCAACTGGTTGAGTTGTGGCCCTTAGTGCGTTGACATTCGACATGACGATGAAGATTTTGTAGCTCTGTGTGAGACGCAGTATGTACCCTTGGTGTGTCGAAGAGTGACCGGATGTGTGATTGAATAATGGCACCCTTGTTCTCATATCTGTTAATTAGTGTGTTGTAAGCTTGTAAATAGTTTTCTCCGGTCGTAGGGATTGACCTGATGACCTCACGAGCCTATCCTTCTAAGCAACTCTTTAAATAATGCAACCGTTGAACTGGGGCCAGTTTCTTGTTTGTATGAAACATGGCATTAAATGAGTCTATAAACGACGTCTACATCTGCCAGTCGCCATTGAATTTTGGTGCATCGATTGGCGGAAGTCTCATTAAACTTTCACCATCAGGTCTTGTCACCTCACTGATTGATGGAGCACTTGAACTATTCTTCTGCTTGGAATCCAACAGACTCATTAAAGATGCCTTGACACTGAACAGAAGATCTTTGTGTGCCAATCGTTCAGTAATACGTTGCCTCGTTCCTAGCTCGGTTTGAAGCAGCTCAAATCTCTCAGAGATATCAGGCAAGCATTCGATCCTTACACGCACCTCGTTGATGTTACCAGTTGAAACATGAAACTGAGAGCTGAATGACAATAGTGCTGCAAGTTCAGAGGCGATAGTCTTAAGTTTCTTCTTAACTGCTTTGGCAGCCATACCTGTTTTTACAAAAAGAAGTGTTATGTACCAAGTGATTATCTCACAATAGAAAGAATAACAAAAAACAAGTTAAGAAATTACAAAATTAACAATCCAACCACGGTGATTGTTGACTGATTTTTACTGACAGCGTGGTTTAGACTTAATTTGCCCTACAAGACAATAATTGGCTGACTTAAAAATAAACTATTGGTACTGTCAGTCCATGATTTATAACTTTTGATTGTTACAGTGATTAACTAAACTACAATAACCTGTAACCAGAGGGAAACAACAAACCAACTATTACACTTACATGTTTAACATATCAGCAAAGAACTTGATAAAGAATTAAATGTATCACGTCGAGGTTACCAAAAAATGTATGCGCGCTCGATGCTTGATGTATCAAACGATACACCAAGTAAGGGTAAATATAGGTACCTACTATAAATATATAAAATAAAAAGAAATACCTCCCAAGTTGCAAGAACCTGAATAATGAACAAATCATGTTTTAAAATGCAATTAACAAATTTTCGATTTAAACAAATTATATCAGAACTAAAAAGTAAAAAAAAAAATCATTTTTTGTATTTGAAGATTATTTCAAATACTTTTGAAAAGTATTTGAGTATTACTCAATTTATTAATTTAGACACCTAATTGAGTACCTACTTACATATACTATGAATTTGGTGCATTTAATTCCAGTGTTCAAGTATTTTTCCAGTTTTTTTCTTATGTTAGGTATATTTATGTTATTTTGTAAGGTATTTTATTACTGTATGCGCGCTCAATGCTTGGTGTATCAAGCGAAACACCAAGTACACCCTCACGCTTATGAATAATAATGCAGTAAGAAACAAGTAAGGTAATAATACAGTGTTTATTGTAAGTCTCTAATGGTTATAACAATGCTTGATACATGGTGATGGGCGGCAATAACAAGTGTACTATGTATAATAAGCATGGTTAGCTAATCATAATACTATAGAGAAATATAATAATAATGTTATAACGTTATAATGTTATAATGTTAAAACCAATTGAACAATGAGCCTGGTTGGCTACTTAAGTATAATAAAGTATGTCTGTTGGAAAATTACAACAATAATAATATGAGCCTGTTGGCTGTAATACTAATTTGAACATAAATGGTCGACCAATACTCACAAAAACATAATAATGACAAACGGTGCCGCCGAGACGGGAACGTTGATGCGACCACACCACCGCCTGTAGAAAACACAACCACGAATCACCCGTCGATGCTTTGACCACCCTAGATGGGGAAAAGGCTGTTAGAATTGTTGTACCTATGTTTATACAGTTACCAGATAATGTGTGTACCGAGTGCATGTATTGTGATACACAATTGCACTGTACAAGAACGTCGTGGTCTGCGGTCGGCGGCAGCACAGGAACGATGAACCGACAAAAGGTGACTGGACGGCGGTTGAAAAAAGAGTGTCAAAGGTGCTTAAGATTCAAGCTCTTTTCTCGAACGAACAAATTACACACGCACACGTGAATTTTAGCAACGAAAGTGACGGTGACAGTTGACTGAAGAAACTCAAATAATAGTGGTTTTCTCCCGTTATCAACACTACACAACAAACCAGATAACAAGACAAACACACGATAACAGTGGTAAGTGATAAGCACCGTCAACACACAACACCACACTGAAGCCTGTTTGCAGCGCAAAGTGCAAACAATTACCTCCGTATCATATTTTAATGTGTTCCAAATGATTTCCGGATTATTGCCCAAGAACAGGGCCGCATTTAGGGGGAGGGGCTGGGTACGACTGCCCAGGGCGCCAAAATTTTTTGGTCAGAAATTTGTTTACTTGTGAATTATTAAAATTTTATAATTTTAATTATTTTAATAACAGTATTACGGCATAATAATATAATTTAGTATAATAGTATTAAATATATACAGTGGCGGCGGGATATAGGATTATTTTTCATCTGAAATGTGTGGGTGGGTGGGTGTATAAATTTATACCTATGTAATCGTAAGACCTCAATACAAATATCATGGCAATTGGCAAATATTATAACCAGGGCTCGTAACTTTATGCACTAAAAATGCATAAATAAGCATGCATTCATGCACTAAAAATTGTCAAAATATGCACTTAAAAGTTCGAAAATATGCATTTATATGCCTTAACATTTTTAAATTATGAACTCAAAATATACATTATGTAAAAAAATCAAAAAAAACTATCAAACTTCATATTATTATTACTATTGTTATGAAACGGATTTGTATCACAGTTAGCATGTTTTCCTGTGTAGCAAAAAAAAACATGCAGATGAACTTACGAGCCCTGATTATAACTAATAATTATTAATGGCCCCCGCTGCTAATTATTGTTCTTCGATGAAGGGTACGACGATGGTAAAAACGATATGCTTCAAAGCCTAAACAATTTCGCGCCGCCGCGTCTGTTGTAATATTGTAGTATTGCTGTAAATATCCTGTATATTATAGTGATAGCGACGGCGGCGCTCTCTGCGATGTCAATCGGTCCGGAACTAGTCTCGAACAAAGTTTAGAACCGAAGGCAGTACGGCCAGTGGCGTAAACTGGGTGGTGCAAATGCAGCACTTGCACCACCACATCTAAAATGTGGTGGTGCAAAGGTATGTTTTTGCACCACCAGAAAATCATTGAAATATATAATATATAAAGAGGTACAAAATAGTTATTTTCGTGCATGTATTAGACATTATCATTTAAATTATTACCCTATCTATATTCTAAAATATCGTACAACCCCCATAAATAGTTAGATTATTATCTATGGTAACCACTATCCACAGAATTTTGTATTTTATTATGGCAATATCACAGAATCACGATAAAAGATATTATATCTTTAATCGTGCACAGAATAGACGTATAATATGGTAAAATTATATTGCTATCAACATTCTACCGCCAAAATAGTGTGTTATCACTGGATCAATGTTCATTCAATTCTCAAAAGTCAAATGTCAGATGACAGCTAGACGTCGTATTTAATCAAATTTTAAAATTCTCTACAGGTTTCATTAGCGCCAGGAAAAACAACATAAAAATTAAGGAAAAACAGGAATTTTTACCCGAAATCGATTTTCGACAAAATCGATTTTGGTTTTTTACCAAACAAATGAACATATACATATATAATTGAAATATTCACTGGTTGGGTAAAAAAGCTTGGAAATTTAATACAAGGCTCAAACTATATTGTTACAATGACATTAAAAAATTATTAAAAATCCTTAGTCACAGTTTTTTTTATAAGCATTTAAAGTTCAAATCTTGACAAAATACAGAAAAATCACGAAAATTAACAATATAATTTGAGTTGAAAAAATCATAAAAATGTTTCTTTTCAAATCTAAGATTTTAAAATGTAATACAAGATTATTCATAAGTTTGTATACGCCTTTATCAAAAAAAAAATGTCCACAACTAAATCAAATTACATTTTTATGAGCATTTGAAAATCATATTTTTACAAGATTGGATATTCACTAGATTTCTCATGTAGCGATTTTGTTAATTTGTTGTTATTCAAACAAATAACTGTAAATACATGAAAATTTATATATTTATATTTTAATTTTCTATACACCACAAAGTTTTGAAAATATTTTAACTCTCTTTGAGCTGTTTCCGGACATTGTCATTTTTTAATTTTTTTAGTTTTTTTTTTTCTATAAATATCAATAAAATTTTATTTGTTGGGTAAAAAGCGTGAAAATTTAATGGAAGGCTCCTGATATATTGTTACAATAGCGTTGAAAAATATTAAAAATACATAGCCACAATTTTTTTTTATAAGCATTTGAAGTTCAAATGTTGACAAAATGTATGGATAAATATATAGTTTTTTTTTGTTAGGAAGGATTTTACTTAGAAAGTTGGATTATTTTTGTGTTGGAAATTATAGGTTAAGAATATGCCTCTGCACCACCAGAAATTGGACCCAATTTACGCCACTGAGTACGGCTGCGTAATTTCACTATTCATTTATATACATAATTATATATATATATATATAGAATATATTATATAACTATACTATTAAATACACAATGCAAAACTATAAAAAAATACACAAAAAACATATTGTATATACATTATACCTATGATATATTATCACTTTCTTATTTTGGTAATTATTAATTTAATATAGCATAGAAATACTGTTAAAGTTTAATACAGTATTAATAAATAATATATATATATAAATATACTATTTGATATTACTTACATAAATAGTTGTACCTACCATGTATAATTAATGTATGTTTAATTAAGAGAATTAAATCAAATTAACAAATAGATAATT